CCCACAGCCAAGAATGTTGCCGTCAGCGGGTGGCCACAGCCAGGGCCTCCGCTGCAATGCTGCCCCAACTGCCTGCCCCCTCAGCACGGCTTGGGCTAAACGCAGCCAGAGCCAACAACCCTCCAGCCTCCCTTTAAATCCAGGAGGGACGGCAATAGGGACATCACAAACCAAGCCCTGGCTGTAGCTCCCAGGGAGGCCAGCCTGAGTGCCCGCCCTGGCACTACAGCCAGCAGGATAGCACTGAAACAGGAGCCAGCCCTGCCTCCCCTGTCCGTGCTCCTGCCCACGCTTGTGCCTGCTCTGCCCAGCACGTGTGCAGCGGCAAAGGCACGGGCAGGGGAGCAGCTTCAGGCTTGTTTGGTTCCCTCCAGGGCTCTGCCAGCTGCTCTGCCAGGGCTGGAGCCGCCCCGGGGAGGCCCACAGCCTCCACGGCGGCAGGCAGGAACACGGCCTGTGCTGTGAATCTGGGCAGAAACTACCCTGCTGATGGGGCATATCACAGGCAGCTGTGTGCAAGGCTGGGGACCGGACCTCGCAGTGGCAAAGCCAGGCTCCGCTTTTTGCTGCATTTTCTCAAACCAGAAAATGGCCCTTCCAGACTGGCACAGGAGGGGAAAGCCCACCCTGCAGCCCCCAATACCTGACAGCCTTCACCCAGGAACATGCTTCCCTCCCAGCCCCTCTCTGCACAATGGGGCCCCGGGTTGCTATCAGGGCATCTCAGCAGGCCACACACAGGCTGGCGCAGCAGCAGTTAAAGCGGTGGGAGCAGCCGACAGCATGCTGGGGCTCTGGCTGGGTGTTACTCACCCACCAACTGATGCGTGGAGATGTACAGTAACGCCCGTGGGGCCCGGGAAAGGCAGAGGTGCTGCCTGGCAGAGGATGCGGTGCCATCCCTGGCAGCTCTGCTAGCCCGGATGGGGCAGAAGGAGGTGGCGGGCAGAGGGAGGCAGGATCCCCCCAGAGTGGGTGCCCAGGGCTTGGACGGCCTCCCCAAGCAGGCAGCCAAGGGCAGGGCACTCGGCATGGGCCCCGGGGGTAGACAGGGCTGCTGCACTCCTGCCAGCACCTGTGCCCATGGGAGGATGGCACCGACCCACTGCACCACACCAGCATGGACTGGCAGCTGCCAGAGAGCTGCTTCCCTGCCGGGCTGCCATGGTGGGAGCTGGCCAGGGCTTCCAACACACTGCTCCATGTCCGGAGCTCTGCCAGTCCCAACGGGTGCCCAGGATGGGACGCCAGTGGTCAGTGGGATGGCCTGGAGCCAGGCACAGACATGCGCATGGGCACAAACGGACCCATGCACGGCCATGGCCATGTGCACGGGGACACAGGCACAAACAAAAGCATGGGGGTGGCTGCAGCAGTGCCAAGCCAGGGGGTGAGGGCTGCAGCAATATCATGGGCCCATTGCCCGCTTGGGCAACAGCACCCGAACCTGGGTGCATGGGTGCCAGGTGGACTGCGAGCTCAGGGCTCAGCAGGGCCCCATGTGCTGCCCCTGGCCAGAAGACACCCACCAGGTGGGGAGGTGAGACCCAGCGCAGCACGCCGAGGCACCGGCATGGCCAGGAGAGCTGGAAGCACCTGCGAGGAGCCAGTGCCAGGAGTCAGCTGCGCCTGAGGGCTGGAGCCTGAGGCTCTGGCAGGGCACCCAGCCCCGCGGCAGCAGGGCAGGCAGTGCCCAGCACAGGGCCAGAGCAGGTGCCGCAGCCCCTTTTACTCCGGGGACAACCCTGGGGCAGGGCTCACAGCTCCAGCCCAGGGGCCAAGCAGAGCTGATGGTGTGAGCCCCTCACTGTTGACCGTGCGGTGACCCTGCTCCACTGCCAGTAAACAGGGAGAGATGCCAAAACCACGCAAGATCCATCTGCCCTAAATTAGTTTATTTTGCAAAATAATGTCAGGGCTGATTTAGACCAGACGAGAATCTGGGAAATCATCATCTTCTCACATGGATGCAGCCCAGCTCCTGGGCACGCTTCCTCTGCAGGCCATTGCTGGAGCCTCCAGGAGGTATTTCCAAAGTCTTTACTGCAGCCGCTGCCCTGGGACCTGGTGAAACACTCCCACACAGCACAGGGCCTGCAGGGCAGGGCCATGGCAGGCTGGTGTCCTGCCCACAGGTACCAGCAGCGCTGGGCTGAGCTGACCTGGAGCACTGCTCCACAGTGCCTGGCTCACTGGCTCACTGTCCCAGGGGACAGTGTGAGGGCTGGTGGCTCCAGCCGGAAGGTTTCGGGCAGGGAGCTCACCCAGCACAGATGGCTGTGGCCGAGCCCTGCTCTGCACCGGCACCAGCCGGGCACCCGGCTCGGTAGCACATGGGTCCTACCCAGGGGTCCGTAACCACAGGGCATTAACACGACATGCAGCAGGACCAACAGAGCCAAGCACTTAAAAAACATTTAGTTTAATAGGTATAAAAGTCAACATTAAAACACCAATTATACAAAGGCGTATGACGTTGGAGACTGGTGCGGCTACACTGTGGACATCTTCACGGACACCCGAGCTAGATGCTCGCACCAAGCAGCATCACCGGGGCAGCACGGGGCTCAGTGTGGGATGCAAATCCCAGGCACAGAGAGGGTTTTGGCCAGCTGAGCCTCGTGCTGCCAGGGAGCACCGGACTGCTGGCAGTACCAGAATGAGCCGCCCCAAGCCTCGTCGCACGGCTCCAGCCATGGCTGCCATGTACATGCCCAGCACTTGGAAAGCACATAGAGGAGGTGGTGACCACAGCCACATGGACAGACGGAACGAATACAGCTGCACCATCATGTGGGGCCTCCCGTGCGCAGGGAAAGCAGCATTTCTGACAGCAGCTTCCACGGTGGGAGGGCCGTGCCAGTGTCACTGCCCCTCGGCGGGATTGGGGGGATGCCAGAGACCAGCCCCGGGCCACCAGCGCTCCCACCTGGCCCGGGGACTCATCTCCGTGACCTCTGCTCTGTGAGGGGAAAGGGCAGCGCACGACCTGGCTCTGCGGTCCTGACTCTGGGACTCGTTCCCCGTGGGAGAGGGGATGGATGTACTGTGTGGATCATGATCTTGTCCCTTAGCAGGAATACTGGCAGAGGTCCACGGAGTGCCCATGCCCGGTCCCTCAGACTGCAGCAGCCCCAGGGCCAACGTCCAGTCCAGGGTGGTGCAGAGGCTTTTCTACTGTGGCACAGGGCTCCTCTGCGTTTTTCCCTTCCATGCTGTTCCGAATCCCATAGCCAAAGTAAATCGTAAAACCTGCAGGACAGTTTCCACCATGAAATGCACAGTGGTGGGCTGCCAGCATAACAGCCCCCCAGGGGAGACCCTGCAGGCACCACGCTCCCCTCTGCAGGACACCTACCCACGGCCATCCAGATGGCAAACCGCACCCAGGTGCCGGCACTCAGCTGTACCATCAGCAGGATGTTAATGAAGATGCTGAAGATAGGCAGGAGCGGAAGGAAAGGTACCTGCGAAGGACAAGAGATGCCATGTCAGCTGTGCCTTGAGGGACCCGGCTGGGCTTGAGGATGCTCCTGGCCACAGAGGGATCTCACCCCTGCCACAGCCCAGAGAGCACCTGGGCACTTCCATGCTGGGGACTGCACCTCAGAGAGCTGCATCTCAGGGCCCCAGGCTTTCCTGGACGGTGACTGCCCGGCAGCAAGCTCTGGCAGACCCTGCAATGGCCCAGATTCTGCCAGGGGTCCGCAGGGGCGCAAATGCTGAGCTGCTGGGGGCTGCACTCACTTTGAAGTTCAACCGCGCGTTGCTCTGCGGCTGCCTCCAAACGATGATGGTGGGAATGAGCAGAGCCACGAGGAGCAGCACCAGGGCTGCAATCCAGCCCACGCTGGCATCCTTCAGTGCAGTCACCTTGAGGGTCAGGACCACGCAGATGACCGTGATCAGTGTGGCTGCAAGAGAGGGGGCAGTTGGGGGGCTGCACAGCATGTGGCCTCCCTGGGACCCCGAGCCCCACCAACGGCTGGGCTGAGGCACCCACTCCTCTCAGTCAGGTATGGGTCCAGCACATGCTGTCTCCAACACCCACCCCAAAGCCTCAGGAAAGTGTTTTGCTGGGGAAACTCACCAGCCCAGCAAGCTGAGGGGAGCCTGCACTCAGCTGGACTCAAACCCAGCTCTGACGCTTACCCAGACCTGGCTGAGCCGCCCCATTCTGGCTACACAATGAAGGCATTGATAGATGGATCAAACCTTGCTGGCCAAGCCCAAGCGCTCTCAGGGGTCCAGGGACAACCCTTGCTGGGTGGCCAGCCTGTGCCAGGCTTGTCACAGGGAGCTCCCAGGACCACCTGCACATGCCTGGCTTAGCACCCACGTCCTCCACCAACCCCCGTGCACCCCAAAACCTAGCCATGCCCTGTGCTTGGCACCCTGCTCAGGACAGAGCGGGTCCAGCACCCGCTGGTTTTTTGGCAGCCTGTGCCACCTAGCCCCTCCCCTCCACCTGGCATGCCCACCATCCCTTCCCAGCTGTGGAGACGTGCCAAAATGCTCCAGCCCCTGGCAGGAGGGGACATCAGCCACCAGCTCCTGCTCACTCACCGATGACCGAGACACAGATGTAGACGATGCGCCCCGAGAGCGTGGTGGGGGTGTCCGTGGGCGGGTTGAAGAGCGTTGCCAGGGACAGCATCTCTTTCTGCTGGGCACTGGCAGGGGTGACAGTCGGGTTCATGATCACTCTCTCCTCCTCATTCCCATTC